GCTGCCATATCGCGCTATCGGCCCTTCTGGCCATCACCACTAGGTGAAGTGTCTTGCCCAAGGACACAACGACCGAGACTGTCCGAGCCGGGGCTTGAACCGGCAACCTTCTGATTACAAGACGAACTCCCAACTCTTGAGCCACGATCGCCACAAACAAAATGTTCACGCAAACCAGTAAACATTTAATACAAGTACTGTTGAGAAACTATAATACAAAAATCACGCAAACCAGTAAACAATTTAATACAAGTACTGTTGAGAAACTATAATACAAAAATTACAATTAAAATTCTCAAAAACACAAAACTGGGTGAAAATAATATGTAAACAACTTAACAACCCCCAAAGCGTGTAAGTCAGGTCACGTGACAGCGCAACATCTAAACACAAGGGGGAGGGGAGCAAAGTGTGTCTGCTCTGCGCTGACACAGGAGCGGCGAGTCCAGCGACCTGGCTGTTTGCACAGCATTGCAAACAAGAGCGGAACTTAAAGGGGTCTCCACCCTGACTTCCAACCGGAGCGGAGCTTACAGCGCCGGTGCACAGACGCCTGCCCACGAGTTTCACATACAGGACTTGAAATCAGGTGGAAGCTTGCTGGAGCAGGAGGCGTCCGATTCCTGAGTGAGTATTTCTCCGGTCGGTCCGTTTGTTGGCCGGTTGGTGGGCGTGTTGATGTGGTAGGCCAGTAAAGTGTTATGTATAGTTATGTTATTTATATGCATTATATAGGAGAGTAAATTCAGAGTTGATGTTTTTCTTTTTTATCTCCGGGGTTTTAAACGCCTCCAGTGTCAAGCTATGGTGGGAGACGATGACTGGGTGCCGTGTCCCTGACTTGAGTTATCACATGCAGGATCTAAATAGTGACGAGCTTGCTGGCGTGCAGAGGTCTTGTGGGTTCGTGAACATGACGCAAACTCCCATACAGCAGCAGAGCAAACCAGGAAGATGTAAGCACAGATAGGGCAAAGGGTCAGGTGTCTAGGGATTAGGGAGAAGAGTGGCTTGGCAGGGTCGTGCAACAACGGATTGCAAACAACGTCCAAAGAGGAGGGGTCGGAGGAGCCTGGCTCGTGGCGGCCAGGGTTGTCGCAAGGGCTTCAAGGCGTGGTTTTTGACTTAGAATCGGACAGAACAGGAAGGTGATGGGACCAAACATACAAACGAACCCAAACACAGACACTCTGCAGGCGCATTAGAATTGAAGGAGAACAATACACCCGCTCACATGAACACTTTCTGTTCGATAATGTGCAGACTCGTGTGTGGGGGCTGGAGTGCGGCGGGCTAGGAGTGTGGGTTGTCCGCGCGTGTTATGCACTCGTTGAGTGGAGTGAAAACTGATACACACCCATGCACCAAAATCAAAATGTTGATTCAATTCACTAAGAAGTGACACATAATGCTCCAGCTGCTGCAATGAAGAATGCTTTACTGACAAAGGCTCAATGCTGCACACAACAAAGTCAAATACAGAATCTGCTATAATAATAATAAGCCCAGAGGGCATTTGTGTGGTCTGGGGAGCAGAGTCCCGAGCGGTTTGGTTATGAAAACGATGCCTGTGCGAGATATCTGGGGCTTAAGGCCTCGACTCAATTGTTTACTGTACACTAAAAAGAAAAGAAAACAGCCTGAGCAGTGGTGCAGAGTGAAAACGATGAATTAACAGTGTGAGTCTTATTTCAGAGCGCCACATCATTGTGATGGAGATTTAATAAAAGGAGGAACACACGGACAAAGAAGGAGAAAGGGGGGCCAGCCCTGGACACGATTGCCTGAGGTATTAAAGTTCTGTACTAAGTTCTGGTTTCCAGGGTGAGAAAAGTCACGCAGTGCCAGTAGTAGAGTTGGGTTGAGTGATGATTCTAAATTACTGTAAGTAAATCATCGTACACCCGTTCAAGTTTCATGATAACTAGGATCTAGACTTTGTTGAACTCTAGGCAATTTGAGCAGGTAAAACTGGAGTGACCAAGTAGCAGTTGAATAAAAGTCATTGAATAAGTGTTGAGATAAACTAGCAGAATTAAGAGAATTAAAACATTTCAAGAGCTCAAATTACTTAATATGGAAACGGTTCAATTTTGTTTCACGAACGCAAAACATGTAGGTTTATGAATATGAAAAGGTTGAGGTGGTGTTGATTTGACTCTGTGTAGGTTTAGGTTTGGCATTTTTGACTCAGAATTACTTAATATGGAAACGGTTCAATTTTGTTTCACGAACGCAAAACATATAGGTTTAGGAATAGGAAAAGGTTGAGGTGGTGTTGATTTGACTCTGTGTAGGTTTAGGTTTGGCATTTTTACTGATGGGAGGAATATTCAGTGACAAGTCCTAAGACCCGGGCGTTTGTATTTTTGTTTTTGGTACCTTTCATTTTATTTTGTTTTATATTTTGAACAGTGCACTGATTTTTGTTTCTGGATCTTTTCTTTAAGCAGATCTGCACATTGGAAATTACAAACATTACACGTCGGCGAGAAAATTGTTGTAAGTGAGTTTCTCCGCATAGGAAACCCTTATGGGGACAATTAGAAACGAGAGTCCCTGTCTAAGAAAAAAGGATTCACCGAGTAATCTTGTGGTGGAAGGGGTTTAGGGTGCGAAAGACTCAGACAAGTAAAAGAACGCTAGAGTACGTGTCCCTGTGGCGAACGTGGGCACGATACAGGTTCTGGAGGAAACACTTATGGGGACAATTAGAAACGAGAGTCCCTGTCTAAAAAAGGATTCACCGAGGTAATCCGATCTCAAGTTCTTCTTTCTCTTTTGAAATGACGTCATTTTGCTGAGTGTGGAAACTAAATGCGACGACAGGTTTCACTATCAGCAAAGAAAGGATGAATGGAGGAATGAATGAATGAAAGACTGGAAATAAAACAAACGGACTGACTGGTAAAGGATGACAAGACTTGACTACGACTTAAGGTTAACCTCCACCTAGATAGAACAAGAGGGTGGATGAATTTATGTGTGTTTCTTTTTACAGGAGTAGAAGGATGACAAAATATTCAAGGATGAGTGAACTTTTAAATGCCATTTTTGTGTCTTGTGTTGCTTACAGAGGTAACTGCGCAGCGTTAATATATATATATTCTTCTTCTGCTTCACGGGTTAGTTGTGACGGGGTTTTGAGGCAGGGGGGGGTGCTAGTTTCTTAATGTATTTCTTCCTGACCAAGTGAGTTTCTTTATATGGTGGATTATCGGCCATTTTTTTACCAGCCATCAATATTTCTCGCCAAGCCGCGCCGTTTGGTTTAATTGTTTGGGAGGGACAGTCGTGTGTATTGCTCATGCATGAATGGTCATCTGTGCCGTGGCATGCTAGAATTGGTTTTGCTTTGCTTTTGGTAGGAATGGGTTGGGCTCAGTGGTTTGAAAAGTACGATAATTCAGAGTGGTGAAAAATGGGCGCTAAGAATATTGCTTATTAAAATAACTAGTGGGGCAGTAGCACAGCATGCTACCTCATCCACGTATACGGATGGTGGCAGGGATATTTCGCATGCTGATTGCTTGTATTTAAACTGCTATAAATAACTTGTTGGTCTACAATATGTGAAACATATGTCAAATATATCCCTCATGAATTATATCAAGTCATCTTGACCAACAAACAACATTCCTGTAGCAAGGTAGAAGCCGCAATCACTTTTTGGCAGTGACTTTTGTATCCTTTATTTGTGCAGTTAAAGAAAATTCTTGTTTACTTTAAAAATGTCTCTTTTGAGAGTAATCTGGCCAAGAGGACAGCTGAAATTGCAACAAATGCAAAAATAGTTCTGTAAACATATTTTAAGTGGACAAAACGAAGCTGATTGATTATAATCAAGTACAATAGCACAGCTACAAAGATAACTGAGAAACAGGTAATTTTTTAAATTTTGTATATAACCTCTTTGTAATACCTGTTCACTGAAGTCTATTTAGCAACATACGTAACAATGTTACACATAAAAAACACACGGAAACATTGGAAATCGGTTTTTGGCACAACACCCGCTTGTACATGTACACAAGAGACACGAGAGTTCTTCTTTACTGATGTTTACTGTGCTCCTCTTTACGTACACAGGCACACCGTAGAACTGGTGAATTCAAATGTACAATAAAGTTATATTTCAACATTAAAAGATATAAAATTTGAAAAATATAAACAAACATACCACTTTGTCCTGCAAGTGGACACACTGGTGTATTTGGAACTTAGGACTTATTATTTCATATTTAGCTTGGCATTCACATGTCAAGACCATCATCATGTGCAGCTTCTCTGACCTTTTTCCTAAACAGGAAGTGATCTCTCACCTTAAACCTTCTTATTGATCGATGACTTTCGTGTGTCAAACTAGCAATATACTGTATACAAATAAGAAAATGTTAACACGTTAAACATAAAAATAAAAACAGAGGAAATAAAATCCGTGAATGACATTATAATTACAAGAGCGCCGCTTAGCGGTACAACACTAGCTTTTCACCAGCTGTTACAGTGGCCATGAATATTTTGTACTTGTAAAACAAATGCGATTTGTGAACTGACTTTTGTAACCTTGTAAACCACCAGATGGGTTTGGCTGTCGGAACAAAATCTTTAGATATTTTGGTTTACAATGTTAGAAAACTCAGTTCACAACTATGTGTTTTATTTACAAGTATAAAATATTGATGACCACAATTTTAGCCCTTAGAGGCTATGTTGTGTTGTTTGGAGGAAAGAAGTTAATAGCAGCGTTCTCATAAGACTTCATTATTGAAAGTTTCTTTATGAATGAGTTTGTCTTCCTAAGCAGAAGAGTCAATAATCTATTCCCAAATCAAAAAATGTTCCATAACAACCTTTAATTTCCATTAAGTATAATTGCAATTATAAATAAAATGGCTCTGGTCTTTGGAGTGATGTCAGGAGTAGAGCCAGTCTGAGCTGACTGAAGTCATTAAATCAGCTGCAGTTACAATGCTGAGTAGCAGCAGGAAGGCAGCATGTGTTCAGTTTAACTGGCACAGACTCGAGTGTGTTGTCACTTCGTTGTTTGTTACCTGCACAGGTACAGCTGGTGCCCTGATGGGCACTTTTATGTGAAGGAAATGAAATACTGATGTACATATTCTAATGTCATCGGTCACAGCCGCAACCGGGTCATCGCTGTGTCCCACTCTGTCCCCCTACAGACGCTGTGTCAGTCTCTTCACCCACAAACACTGGGTGGTGCAGTCGCCTTACAGCTGTGCGCTGCCCTGAATGAGGTGATCATTAAGTTTGTCCTCTGTGCCGCCTGCAGGTTTTCCAGATGATCGTTGATGGTCACAGGAGGGAGGAGGATGAAGGAGGTGGGCTGTCAGTGGGAGAGCCCCGTGGAGAACAGGAAGGAGGTGGGCTGTCAGTGGGAGAGCCCCGTGGAGGACAGGAAGGAGGTGGGCTGTCAGTGGGAGAGCCCCGTGGAGGAGGATGAAGGAGGTGGGCTGTCAGACTGAGGCAGTGCAGGTGGATGTGCTGAATCAGCAGCTCAGCTGGAGACACTCAGGTGAGACTCATGCGCGATGTATGGCTGTTATATGAGAAACACGGAGCTTCAAACTCAGGTCCAGTGTAACGTTGAATAGAATATCTCTTTATTGTCACTGTTACAAGAACAATGAAACACAGTGTGGCATCTTTCCATTGTGTGTAATACACAACAACGTAAGTATCTATGCCATAACACTGAGTGACCTCAGTCCTGCTTACAGTAAACACATCCACACACTGCTTGTGGCTCTTGTGGTCGGAGCTCACATCTGCGCTCAGCATAAATCCATCCTTCCCTCTCTCTCGCAGGTCTTCCGGGTCCTGATACGTCAAAGCCCCCTGCTGACTGCACGGCAGAGGAGATGCTGATGGCCGTTCGCTCTCGGTTTATGGACAGTGTGTCCAAAGCTGTCCTGAGCAGGCTGCTGGATAAACTCCTGGAGCACCGCATCATCATCGATGATGAAATTGATTTAGGCAGAGCGGATGGAAGGGTGAATAACGCCCGACGGGTGATCGACATGGTGCGGAGAAAAGGATCCCAGGCCTGCTCGGCTCTGATCGCCGCTCTCTGCAAGGTGGATCCGTTTGTTTCAAAGGAGCTGCACCTTATGTGACGCACTGTGTGTCTGTTTTCCATCAGACACACAGATCAGCACTCACAGGAGGGCAAATTATGACTCATCTGTAACACTCAGAAGCAGCTAATACCTTTCAGTATTCAATCGTCCATTCCACTTACACGTGGAAACTTGAGCGCTGCCTTGTCTGTTTGTTTTGGTTTTCACATCAAAGGTTTTCACAGAGACGATTTTCTATGCGTCTTTATGCTTTATACAAACAAAGATGTTCCAAACAGCAGAACATGGCAGAGTTTCAGCAGGTTTCAAGACTGAAGTGTTCCAGAAATTAGATCTTGAGTCAAACCTGAACAGTGAGCTCTGTGAAAAAGTCCAACAGAAACCAACAGATTAGTGAAGATTTTGGCTGTTTTCATGTTGTTGGAGTGAAACGTGTCAGAGAGCAGAGGATCGGACTGTTTTGTGTTTCTTTCTGTATCTCTGATCAACGTGAAAATAAACGATGAGTTTCCTGTCACCGTGTCTGGTTCAGTCCGGATTTGTAAAATAACCTTGAACATATTCAGTAACTGACAGTCATAAGTTTCAATCATTGTAGGTTTTCACAAATATTCAGAGATGTTGTGGTGAGTCAAGAAGCTAATAACCATCCACACCTGGACCCTAGTGTACTGTGACCTGCAGTGAGCGGGGGTGGAGGTGACGGGGAGTGATGGTGAGCAGGTGCTCTGACTTCATGATCTGAACAGGACTGTGTGATGGATTTGTTACAGGCAGGGAGCTCTAATCTGTCCATCTTCTACATCAGAGAATAAAGAGAAGCCAGATTCAGTTACGGATATCCCGACAGTGCCCCAGTGAAAGGTTCAAGTAAACTAAACCTCCTGAAGGAGGGCAGTAGGGGTTGTTCAGATCTTCGGTTTGGGCCAATCCCGTGGGCTAAGATCCAGCTACCGGGCATTTGACTTCTCTACTCACACCCACTCCAGAGTGGGACTTCTGATTTATTTCCTTTAATGGGAATTGTCTGAATTGCTCTTTGTCTGGCCACCCTGGACTCATCTGCCTCGGAGACCAGGAGCAGGAGATGACTTATGGTCAAGATTGATTAAACATTTATTTAGCATTGAGTTGTCAAAGTTAAAAAACTGATCATTGATTGTTCTCACCTGGTCAAGTATAAATAGATCAGCAATCACATTGAAAAATAATCTATTTATTGTTAGCTGGGAAATTAAAGCTGCTATTATTTGGATTATTCCATTTCAACCCTCACAGTGGTACAACCCATCAGACCATAATTTA